ACTAAAATATCCTTATATGTAAAAGACATAAAGCCCCAATTCCCCTTTCAATTTTCATTTAACCCTAATTCAATTTTGGCTTCCTTTCTTCCACAGTTGGATCGGCCATTCTCTGTTATTCTTCTTCTTTTTTATCATCATCTTCTTCTTCATGAAACCCCAAAAAAAAAATATTATCATTATCTTAAATACTCACTTGGTTGAAGTAAGTAATCAAAACTTATAGTATTCTTGATGGGTATTTGAAGAAGAAGAGAAGGTAATGTTAAATTTCAATATTTTGGCTACTTTCTTTTTTAATTTTTCTGAATCACATGTTGTGATTCGTGTTTATGGTGTTCATTTGTTAGTAATGATTTTATTTTCTTATTTTTTTATCATCGAATTATAGATTTGATATGGATTGCTTTCCCATTTTCTCATTAGCTCTTATTTTTTAAGTGAATATGCTAGTAAACACATGTTTGGCTATTCTATTTGTTGTTCTACTATGAAACATATATTTCATTTTTTTCCGTCCAGAACGACTTACATATAGTTTTCTACAAACCATAATGACATACATCTCGTTATCAATAATGTACGAAGTTTGATATTTGATAAAAAAATTTACAATTCTTATGTCAATTGTAATTATGGCCATCATGGATATGTTATGGATTCAATTTGTTTTCTAATTGAATATGAGTAGTCAGTTGAAAGCGCTTGAAAATAAAAAATGCAATGAATGGCAAAGGGAAAACATCGATCATTCTTGTTTGAAAAAAAAATTTCTTGTGCAAGCTTGTATAAAGTTAGAGAGATGTTGAAGGTTGATACAATGCTATACCAAATGGAGACGTCAACGTTTGTCCCTACAATGTCTAAGGCTCCAATTGTAAGAAAACTAGTCATGTTTGCTCTACTTGTAAATGTCAAACAGCTAGTAGTGAAACTTAAAGTTGTGCAATTGTAGTGACTTGTAATTTTATTATTTTGTATTTATTGGAAGCACAAAATGGTTTACTAGATTTTGTAGTTATTGTGCTATTCTCGCTTTTATGCTATTAGAACAACGTTAAAGTCTTGTTATGTTGTGATATTTTTTTTCACATTACAGACAAACGACTTTTATATTGTTATAGTTGACGCGTATGTCGTTTCAATATGAAAAATGCATAGATTCATATAACGACGTTAAAATTGTTCCTGAAACATAAAATGATATTGATGTCATTTCAATACGAAAATTGCACTAATTTACATAAAAATATTGAAATCGTTCCTGAAACACAAAACGAAATTAATGTTGTTCCAGTATAAAAATATGCCACTTTATTGATTTTCATAGTGGCTTGAAGTCATTATAGAACAATAATATGACATGAATGTCGTTATATAAAAAACTTACATAGCGCACGTGATATGGGGAATCGTTGCGCTCGCTTCTAAGGGACCATTTGTTCTCGAGTGGTAATGATATTAATATCATTATATATCTATATTGTTGTAGTTATTATTTAAATTTGAATGATTTCAAACACGTCAAATTTGTACTAAAATAATATGGACATCGTTATATTATTTCGTGGTCTGCTACATAACGATATAATTATCGTTTCAATACAATTTTGACAACATCGATATCGTTTTAGTTTAAATCATAAATAAAACAACATATATATCGTTTAAGTTTATATAAAAAGATATGTATATCGTTTGGTCACTACCGAACAAGGTCACGAGCCACGAGCTCGAGCTGAGCTCGTGGCTCGTCCAAATGAGCCGCCCACGAGCGGCTCATCTACACGATGAGCCAAGCCCCGCTAGGCTCGCCTACGGGCGAGGCCCGCTCGGCTCGTGCTCGGGCTCGTGATTTCATGAGCCCGAGCCGCCCATGAGCCCCTTTTTCACGAGTCGAGCTGGCGAGCCGTGAGTCGGCTCGGCCCAATTGACATTCCTATATGCAACTTCGTGCATTTTTAATTTTTTATAATGGGCTTTGTTTTGGGCCCTTATTTTTTTAAATATGGCATACAATACGCATTTTAATCAGATCTTTTAGGGCAAATTCAATTTTTTCGTCGGAATACTCTTTTTAGGGTTCTATCTCAAAAGTATTTGCCTTTTAGGTTTTGAAGGAAAAAAAAGGTTCTTTTCTTAGTTCTTTTGAGTATCAAATTCAGGGGTTTTTTATTTGTTGGCTATTTATCGAAGCTTTGATTTTTCTATGGCGAGATGAAGCTGAGGTAAAAATTAGATGAAGTCTCAGACAGGTCATCGAAAGAAGAATGAAGGCAACCGGCGGCGGAACACAACCGGCGAACCCTTCGTATTTATGTTGTATGTATATTCATTTTCTTGATTTCTCCATACAAATCCCTGTAGACATCGTAGATTCTAACATACTTTTTGGTCTTTTTCAGTATATTTTTGATTTTCACGTTCTTTTAAAAAATTAAGAACCTCCAACTGCTTTGGGAATTTGCACAGGCAAACAGAAGAAGGCATAAACCCAGAGCTATGGCAAGCTTGCGTTGGTCCACTGGTAAACCTGTCGGCAGCTGGGGATTCTTCAGTCGGTTTCGTTTTGCCTCTGAGCCTCCTCTTCTTTCACTCAGACATCTCCCAAGGCAAGTTTTTTCAGAAAAAAATTAACTAATATTGTATCTTGATTATGATTTAAAGTCTGTTGTTGTTATACAGTAATTGCAGATTTTATTGACGTTTTAATTGGAAAATTTTGTTGCCCAGATGGACTCTGAGAGCTATATGTTTGGACCCTATAAGATTGACTCAAAGGAAGTGTTTTACTAAACAGAGAATGTTTCAATATCGGGCAACGTTGGGCTACTAGTTGAGGCGAGGGTGTTGGAGGTTTACATACTATTCTTCTTTTTTTCATTTTTGTATTTTCACTAGGGAAGTGATACAATTTTCATATTAATGGTGATTAGGAATCAGAGGCTGATCGCCACATTCCCCCCTTTCTGCCCTAAATCCTGTCATTCCTGTCTCTTTTTTTAATAGATATTTTGGTTTGTCTTCCTTTATTTTGTTTATCACATAATGAATTTTATTCAATGGTGTTGAGTTCATCTATGTGAAAGAATTAGAATTTTCAATTGATATTTGATGTTAATATTTGTTTGGTTCAATTTTGACAGTCGTGACAGGTTGCATTTTGATTATTGAAGTTTCTCCCAGCCTCCCCTCCCCCATTGAAATGATACTCCCAATAACTATGTAATCACAGTTATCTTTCATTGCTTTACTGTGGTTTATGATTTAATGAATTTTTCCAATTCAAGCAGCTTCTGAAAATCCTTTCAAGGGAATTTTTACTGCTCTTCCCAAGCCCGGAGGAAGCGAGTTTGGTAAGGTTTACAGCCTTCCTGCTTTGAATGATCCTAGAATCGGTATGTGACTAATTTTTGCATCACTTGATTTCTATTATCCTTTTTCCATTTATGTTTCATCTCCTCTTCTAATTGATATCATGTGTTTTTGGCGTTGCTGGAGACATTTTAGGCTATTCATGAGATGTCTAGATAATTTTTATCATATTGAGTCTTGATGTTTATGTTTATTTTACTTCAGAATGAATCTTACATTCCTTATCTGTGACATTTTAGGCCATTCATGAGTTGCATTTGAATTATATTCTTATGATTTGTGCTTTGATGATCTGAATGCTCTCAAAGTAGCTGCTTTAATGTGCAATTTTCAAAATTTTCTCATATGAGGTGTTGTTAGATTACTCTATGACGAGACTCTGGCAACGATATTAATCTCCCCTTCACATGTTTGTTAACCCATTTACTGCAGTAGACTGAAAACCAATAGTTTAGGATGGAAATAAGAGGATCAAATTCATCTTGAGGAGTATGTATGATTTCCTTTATTGTATAGGTTCCAAAGTGCAGTTCAAATCTTAATTTTGAAGTACTGGAACGAAGTGGTTGGTGGAACGAAAACATTGGAAACCTATTGAAACTTTTTATCTTGTTAGTTGAAGCACTCATGTTTCTTTAAGCCAATGCACTAAAACACGTAGTCTGTTGCACTTCTTTTTAATCTTCAATTTTTTTTTAATGATCATTTAGCGTATGTTTGGTAGGTGATTATAATTTGTTCAAATTATAAATAGATAGAAACGAGTGGTAAAATAAATGAGGAGTATATGTTGGTCCCATTTGATAAAAAGTAGGTTTGACTAGAAGTGATTGAAAAAATACGTACCACACATGCTTTAATTCAACCGTATGCAAAAAAATTTCAATGCCTCTTCCTTTTCTTTTATTTTCACTGCAATAAGTTTACAACTCCAGTATTTTGTTTGAAAGCAACAGTGGAAATCTGTTCTAGGATTAACCGACACCTTCTTATGATGTGTAAGATACACTTATTTTTTCCCATTATAATTAATCTTCGATAGAGCTTTTGCTTAAGGGGAGTGTTGTTTAGTCCTTCACTTTTAATTGCTGTCATTGTAATCCTTCAAAGCAAGCACTGGTTTTAAGCTGTGGCAGATATTAGCTTTATAGGAAATGCATAAGTATTAATTCATAGTTCCATTTTCCTGTAAGCACTACCCGTGGATCAAACGATACTAAATGCCAGATATGATAAAGTCTATTTTGCACGTATATGAGCGGATTGTTAGTAATATGGCAGTACCTTTATAATGACATCAGAGAAATCGTTTTCACGGTCCAAGGAGTGTTTTTCTTTAACGTTCGTCATCAAGCAATTAATTTGGTTTGTTAGTTTTTAACATTGAACATGTATCCTTGAGCAATCGGTAAACTTATGTACCACATATCTCTGTGTAAAGCATTAACAATGTGTGTGTGTGTGTGTGTGTGTGAGAGAGAGAGAGAGAGAGAGAGAGAGGGTGCTTTTGGGAAGGTAAAGATTTTCACTGAAAATATGACTGACTTGACCAAATGATAAGATCTCTATTATCAATAATTAGTTTGGCATTTATTATCTAATATTTGATATGCAAAATTTATAAATCATGTGCAAAATGTCAAACTTCATTTTTAAGCACACATTCTAATGGATCCAAAAGTATTATCCACAACCCATTTATAAATAAACAGTTTATAAATTCTTCCAAACGGACTTTGTACTTCAATTTTTTCCTGTACTATTTTATGACCCTCTAAAAGTTATTATTGTCACTTGGGTGTAATAGCTATATGTTTTGATGCTAAGCATAACATCTAAATATGTCGATCGTCTTGACATCTGGCCCTTCACCAATGATGGAGAGCCAAAGAGGCACTTCTGTTTTTGTCTCCTTGACGCCCCATACACACCATAGGGTAATATATTATAACAGGAGTCTTTAATGCGTACACTTGGGTGAAATAACTATTAAAAGCTGAATACAAAAGGTGTAGATGTTACTAATGCATATAATGATTCCGAAGTTGTTTCAACTGTGTAGTTTATTACTACTCGAGATTGTGAATATCTGAAGCAATTTGCCTTTGTGGTCACATGGCTCCTTTTGTTACCTCTCTCAATAGAAAACGTTAATCTCTTTGGTTTGATCATTTTCTACATGGCCAGCTTATTGAATAGTATTTGACAAAGTAGGCATCCCTTCAAAGTGTGCTGTAGTATTTGTATGGCAGCATATTTAGCGTGTAGATAAGTAATATATGTAGCCTTTCCTCTTAAGAATGTCTTTTCAGCCTTACAACTGGTTCTCGGTTTGGAGTTGACTTGAAAATTCAGCCTTTCTGTCGATTTCAACACTTTATGGTTTTCGGAAGTAGCTAAAATTTTCCTGTTACCTAAAAAGGCTAAAAAAAACCACCACGTTATTAGAAATCCCACCACTTCCAGTTTTAAAGCTACGAAGAGAATTTTAAGGCACTCTCATGAAGTAAACGAAAACCATCTGATATTTATTTCAACTGAAGTAAAACTTTGAAGTAGGGGAATCAATTTGAAAATGAAGGAATAATTTTGGGTTCTCTCGAAAAGTTGGGTTTTTCATCTTGAATGAAAACTCATTCTACCTCTGGTTATGTCGATTTGATTCTTATTGATTTAGAATTTAATTTCTAAATGTTAAATAGGGGAATATATTTCAACACTGTTTTGGTATTATCAAAAGTTTTCATCAACCAATCTACTGAATCACTCAAACTTTGATTTTATTTACAATTTTAAAGAAGGTGGGATTGCTCCTAAATTCCTTATCATGAGATGATGGATGGCAAGAAACTGTAAATAAATTTCAGAAGAAAGGCCAACCTCTTGTTTAAGGAACTCAGTATGTCCTCTCTACAAGATCTTGAAAGCTTCTGTAATCCTTAAAAATCATGGTACTAATAATATACTGTCACTAATTTTTGCATAAATTTGAAACTAGACTAATTGATATCAATGAAAATAGCAAGTTTAGGGGCTCAGAAGCAGATAGTTCATCTTCTAATCTCAAAGAGTTTATACACACAATAAAAGAGAACTACAGTTTGAATTAAGTTACCAAGAGTACTAAAAATGATCTTAATCTTCTGTTTCATAAAATGTGTAAATGCTAAAAGGTAATATGTGATGCAGATATGTTTATATGTGGCATGCTTTAGCTGGATACTGGGAAGGAGTTCCCCTTCTTTTGAATCACTAAAGAAGTACAATCCTAAGCTTGCTTATCCAGTTCGATCATTGGGAAATACACCATAAGTTCCACCATAAGCTCTAATAATTGTACGAAGTATTTTCTTCATTTTAGATTGTAAGAGCAGGCATATTTATACTAATCAATGTCTTTATATCTCCTTTTGGAAGGCTCCTAAGGTTGATGAGTTGAAGTTTCTTGCATCCCAACTTTACTATAGCAATTCCGAAGGTTTGGTTTCAACTGGAAAATTGATCGAGGTAATTTCAAAGTTACATTGCTTCCATAAATGATTTGTTCATGCAATTTCATCTATATAAAAAAGTATGATCATTGGAGCTACATAATAACTTAAAAGAAGGGGGCATAAAGTAAATGTCTTGTAAGGTTATGGGTGTTGGGATTTGAATCCAAAATCACCACCATATATTAATGTGTGGAATTAATAGGTCCTAAATAACTATGTTAACTAAATGCCAAAGTATGTTGTTTTCGTTCGCTTATTTAGTTGATTAATTAGTGCAATTATATTCAAGACAATGGTATCTCCAACTTCGATTAATTCAATTTGGGAGTGCTTGATAAATGCAATTTGTGCACTTATTTAGGCCACATTATTAAACTTTAAGTCATTAAATTATTAATTTATATTTAACTTAGATCAGTTTTCTTTTTATTTTTAGTGATGGACTTGTCGGAAGCAATTGGAGAGAAAAGGACGATTATTGGATAAAAATGCAATTTTGGGATCAAACTCTACGTGCTAGAAATTAAAAGACTTAAGTGCATTAATTATAAGGAAGTAAGGCCTTGAAAGATAAATTGTAACTAATTGGGCATCAAATAAATGGAAAGTGAAAAAGAATATTTGGGCCTCAATAATTGTAGAAAATGGGCTGCCTTGGGATTTATAAAAGATAGATAGAAAACGGCAGCCAGGAGAAGAAGGAAAACGGGAGAAAAACCTAAAAGAGAATTTAGTCTTCTTTGGGGAGTCAACAAAAACGGCTGCGAGAATTTGGACGGCTGCTGGTAGAAAGAAATTGAGTAACAGTAGGGCTGCCAAACTATATTATATATATACACATAGGGAGGCCGCTAACGGAGTTGCTGGGGAATTAAAAAGGCAGCTGCTTGGAGGAAAATAAAAGTTGGCGTTGAAAGTCAGGCATTGCAGGCTGTGGGAAGAAAGGAAGGGAAGAATTCTTGGGGCTTTGCTTTGGAATTCAATCACAGTGGCCAGCCAAATTAAAGGAAGCAAAACGGGAGAATAATCTAGAGAAAACTGGTCCCTTTTTGGAGTTAAAAAAAAAAAAAAAAAGGCCTCAACTGGGGAAATTAATTAGAGATAAATACATACAAGAAGAGGCGCTTGGGGGGTCAACATATATAAATACAAGCTGCTGTAATTGGGCAGTAAAAAAGGGCAGAGCTGCTGGGACAGAAGGCAAAGAAAAAGGCTGATTTGGCTGATTTATATATATATACAACAACTGCGGCAGAAAATTTAAAGGAATTGGAGACTAATCTATAGACAAAAAGGCAGCCAATTGGGGGATTAATACACATTGATACACACGGAACTGAGAGGAAGAAAAACCATAGAAAAGCTGGTTGGAAATAAGAGATTTCACATTGGATTCGAAGAAAGGCTGCCGGCTGAGTTTTTTGTGCAACTTTCTTCAATAATTGTGCAAGGAGCTTGAAAATTGAATCACTTCCCGTCGATTTTCGGTGATTTTCTTCCACTTTTATTTGTTTAATTCAACATGATGCTAGGATAAATCTTTACATATTTGCGCACCATTAGGATAATAAATTGCTTATTCGTAGTGTTCAAAAACTCATGATAGCTAGAGAACTATTATTGGGACACACGGACAATAAATATTAGAAATAATATTTGTGACGTGTATGATCATATGTGATAATCTTAAATGTCAATGCATGTTTGCCATATGAATTCCGACTAGGAATAGGATCGTCTTGTGGTAACCATAGGTTTATCATATCTTAGAAAAGAATAATAAATAAAAGTGAAATTATCGATTGTCGCTATGGCAAAAAATTTACATAGTTATTACTGGTTGAGAATTAGAATTAAGTATTGATCAGTGACGTCAAAAATCTAATACGTTGACACATTTGATTTTTAAACCAACTTTCATTGTTTTCGCAAGTTTTAGTTATAAAAATTCGTTAGCTATTCATTCGATCTTTTTTTATCATCAACACGAATCTAAATATATTAGAATTGATCATTATTTTATGTGGGCCGATAACTCTCTCATCATGTTTATTACTTGTACAACGAATCCATATGTTTGCGAAATTTTGACGAACAGTGCTTATTAACTCTAACTTTAACCTATGTTTGTCTCTTTCTTTTCGACTGCATTAAATATTAGCATCAAGTTTAGATTAAATTGATTTCATATACATCTATAACAACTTAATCTACTTTGGTCCGGTGTAAATATAGGTGCTGACCTTTTATTCTACATTTTCTGAAAGGGATTGTTTTTGAAGAAGAATGCAAAATTTCTGAACTTTAAGAATGATTTTTGTTTTTGGAAATGGGATTGCTTCTAACAAAATCCATTGCTTTGAGACCTGTTTTTTTTTGTAAGTCAGTAAATCTTGTTTAACACGGTCATCCATATTTTATAGGCTCTTCAACATGCAAAAGAAGCCCTGAGGTTACGAAAGAAGCTTTTAGCTAAAATGTTTTTTTTACTTAATTGTGAAAAGGAAAGAATTTTATGAATAAGAGTGGAAATGTTAAAGGAATACATGAGTATTGAGGCGTTAGAGATTTCTTATCTAGTAACGATTGATTTTTTTTGGAGGGTGGGGGTGGGGAGCAATTCTTGTGAATTTGACTGCATTATTACTCCTTGGAATGTACTTAGCATTTACCTTGATCACGTCTTTTAGGTATAGAATTCTTTAATTCAAATATTTTGGTTAAAACTTTATATGAAATAATGTTTCTGTTATATATCATTATTTTATTTCAATTATTTGTGAGTCAGAGGTTACAAGCATAAATGAGAATCTAGGAAATGCGCAAGAAGCTCAAACTTCTTTACTATGGGAAAGAACATCTTCCAATTTCAGACTTGACACTTTTTGGAATTTATTTTTCTTCTATGTTCAGATGGTTGCTTTATTTATTTTTTTCTTACTTTATCATAATTTAACCAAAGATATTAATGGTATGTTTGATTGCAAGTATGAAATTTACATGAAAAGAAAATAATTTCTAGGAAAATTGTCAATTAAAGTGTTTGATTGATTTTATTTTCAACCTAGAAAAT